AAAAAAAAACAAAAATTAAGGTTGGTATTAATATTTAAAAATTAAATTGCTATCTTCATAGTTGCTAACTTCGGGTTTAATATTTTTTATTCTAACTTTTTGGTTTTTTGAGATAAGTGCATCATCTTTGGACTCATTTTAAAGGGTTTTTAATGAAGATGACAAATATGTCAAAATTGACGTTGACGTTTCAAACCGGAAGTGATTGTATCTCCATTAATATCAAAGTTAAATATGTCGAGTTTGGACTCAGGTTTAAAATGTCAACCTCAATTTTGACATATTTGTAACTTTCATTAAAAATCCTTTAAAATGAGTCCAAACATGATACGTTTAATTCCAATATTACTCGAGATATAAGCAACTTCCGGTTTGAAATGTCAATGTTAGTTTATAAAAGACTTTTCAGATTGACATTTATCGAATTGACAGTTATCGGATTTTAATTTTAATTATCTCGAATCTCTTAAAGTGCGTTATAAACCGGACTCAGTTCGATAAATCAAAGAAATAAACGCTTCCTATACACGTTTTATCACGCACTTTAAGAGATTCGAGATAATTAAAATTAAAATCCGATAACTGTCAATTTGATAAATGTCAATCCAGCTCGAAGGACCAAATTTTATGTCGATAAACTATAAAAGACTTTTCGGATCTTCACTTTAACTTTTAACTTTAGCTTAAAAAACAAATATAGAAAAAGAGATTGAGTACCTTTGTCACTAATTCACACCACTCGAAGAATTATTTTTAGTTAAAGGCGTGCTTCTTATTGTGTCGAGATTTTTATTGACAATTGAGGAAAAATGAACATACTTGATTATTTTAAACAATATATGTAATCTTACTTGATTCTATTTCAAACAAATTGCTATAATGTAGATGACAAATATGTCAAAATTGACGTTGACGTTTCAAACCGGAAGTGAGGTTTGAACCGTTTTCAAACCGAGTTTGGATTTATTTTAAAGGATTTTTTTATGAAGTTGACAAATATGTCAAAATTAATAATTGAAAGTTCGAACTTTTTGTTTTTTTTTAGAGAAATGGGTCACGTTTAGACTCACTTTAAAGGTTATTACCTTTAACTTTATACTTTTACCTACCAGACAGCATGAAAATCTCTAAAAACGTTTAAAATATCGCTTAATCAAGTGATGTATAACGCGGTCCAAATAATCTTCAAATTTGAAGTAGGAATTTAGTTTTTCTAAGGTTGTTATGAAAATTCCCTAAAACATGGCGAATATTGCATGTAAAGTTTCGAACACAACCTTAATTTATTTCTTAGATATTTTTCATCACCCGTGATAAAATCGCATCTATTTGACCCCACACGATTAATTAAGTGTTAAAAAAAATTTAAATAATCAAATTAAAAAAAATTTAATTTTTCTAGGGTTGCCTAAAATTAGTCGTTGCCATGGAGATTCGTGAAAAAAGATCACAACATAACCTTAATTTTTTGAATGTAACAATTTAAAGCATTACATTACATTTTTCTTTTTATTATTAGATATATCGGAGAAACGAAATGGGATATTCGAAGACACGCAAAATTATCAACTCCCGCTCCACCTATGGCAAATCCTATAATAACAGTAACGGAACACACCCCAACTCCTTCACCAGACTTCTTAAAACGACAAGTAATTATCATTAATCCTCATTATCTTAAATTAATTTAATTTTTTTAGGGCTCAGTTGATAGTCAATTAGATGCTTTAAGCCTGGGAAATAAATCCAACGCGCCAAAAGAGCGTAAATCAAGTTTGACTCGATCTCAAACCGATTCAAACATAACCTACGCCCAAGATGAAATTATTGAAGTACCTGGATCGTTTTGTTATATAACGAAGGAAGGTGATATCGATATGCAGGTCGTGTTGAAAGCAGTCCATTCTGCGAGTTTGAGAGACCATAATGTGTGTACTTTAAGAGTATTGGAAGTTATTTTGAATTTGGTGGAGCTTTTAATGGATTTGGGGGTTCTAAAACAATTTTTAAGAGATGAAGCTTTATCTGGAGTTAATTCGACGAACGTTGATCCGAATGCGGATAAAAATAAAACGGATCAAAGCGAAAATGTAGAAAAAACGAAAGTTTTGACACCCCATCGATTAATTATGAATATTATTATAAGGTTGGTCATTTTTATACTTTGTGAAAAATTTGGTATCAATTTTTGATATTATTTTTAGGGTTTTGAAACATTTAGGTTGTCCCCATGGTTGTACTGATGGGCAAAGAGGTCCTGCAGCGGAATTTTTAAGAACGCAATGCCAAAATATTTTAACGAAATTAAACCGTGCTAGTACAAAACAATTTGGTAGATACTTAAGGGATTATGTTAAATCTCAGCCTATTCCGGAATTACTTGATCTTTTCCACTCTTATGTTGGATATTGTATCGATCCAAGTTCGCTTTTATCGCCTCTGAGTAAGTTCACCAGATGTCGTCGTTGTACAGTTTGTGTTTAGGTCACATTTCCATTATTTATCCATTTTCTTCACACATCCTCCGACTTCTTGTTGTAAATAAACCTCACTAAAAAGTATCTAGAACACAAGGAGGTGTTTTAATTTCAAAAAGACTACAAACGAATTATTTTTATTCACACAAAATACACGCCTTGTGAGCCACTAGTGTACTTGCTATGCCACGATTCATTGTAAAAAAATTTACCAAGCTGGTCTCGTGTAAATCTTTGTTTTGGTTAAAATATTTAAAGTAGAGTAGAAACGCCCACCAAAAAAAAAAGAAATTTTCTAGTCGCTTTAGAGTTGATTTAGAATCGTCGTTAAAAAATTTTTGTTGAAAAAAATTACTGTCGCCAAAAAAAGGTGTATCTTTCCGTCGCCAGACCAGAAACGGGGCTCTAGCAAGTCAACAGACACGGTCTCGCAAGTAGTCACTGGTGGTCACCCGACGAACTTTGACGCAGGCCTCAGCGGCGGAAACGTCCGAGGCATCGAGAGCCAGGTCATCTCCTGCTCCTTCAAGAGTCTTGTCACGAGATTCGTCGAATCGACCAAAGAAATCAAAGGAACCGAAAGCTTGGTATTTACAATTTAAAGAAAATGTTATTAATATTAAGTTTTTGTTAATTTTTAGGCGCTATTTAGCGAAATCCGACAATTAATGACTTATGTTAAAGAAGGACATGGAAGTACTTTTAGAAGAGTTGCTTTAAGTGCTCTTATTGATACTGCAGATCGACCGAATAAAAAAGAAAATATTCAAACCACCAGAGTTATTAGGTGAGAATAATAAATAAAACTAGAGCTAATATTATTACTAGAATTAATACTAGACCTAGAACTAGAAACATTCGGATTTAGCCATATGTCTCAGGGTTGCCAGGTTACACACATAGAATGTTGTGATTTTTTGAATATTGGGAATTTTTTTAAAAATCACTCAATTTTAATAATATGTGTTACATATAGGCATAGGATTCAAGTAAAATAGTTTAGACAACGTTTGTATATAAAAGTGATTAATTAATTAAATATTACAGTTTAAATACTTTCTTAGCGCCATCTAGCGACGAATACGTGTAACTAATAGAGAAATTTACAGTAACCTACAATTCGAGTTAAAAATGCTATGATTTTACTTTGATTTTATTAACACTAATTATTATATTATTTTTGTAATAAAATCGTGAGATTAAAGGTAATATCATGAGATCTCACGATAAATCGTGAGACCTGGCAATTTGTCTTTTAAGTGTTTTACTACGATAAAAATATTCAACAATCTAGCGCTAAATAACGATTAAAACTAGAACTAACGTCTGAAGACGCACGGCTATACCCAACTATTTCTAGTACTAGGTCTAGTGTTAGTTCTAGTTTAAATTCAATATGAATATAGAATAACTTAGCGTTATCTAGTGTTACTTAGTGTTATCTAGCACTGTCACTAGAACGAACTCTAGACCTAGAACTAGAGTCAGATCAAATTTTAGTTAATAAAAATATTCAACACTAGACCTGAAAATAGAAATATTCGGGGTTAGCCATCTTAAGAGACACAGGGCTAAACCCAAATGTTTCTAGGTCTAATGTTAGTTCTAGTGACAGTGCAAGTGTAAAACGAAACTAAGTAAGAACTAACACTAGCAGATTCCTCATCATGTTTAAAATGCAAATATTGCAAAAAAATCCTTCTGGCATTTCCTATTTCATTACAAACCTAGTTTTCCATGATTTTTAGCAAATTTTGGGTTGAGCAAAATCTTTAATTAATTTAATTTGAACTGCAGCAAATTTCTCACCATGTCTAAAACAGCAAATGTTGCAAAAAAATACTTTTGCCATTTCTTATTTCGTTCGAATACTAACGTTCTACGAGTTTTTACAAATTTCGGGTTCAGCTAAGTCATTGATCAGTTTAAATTGAGCTGCAGCAGATTCCTCATCATGTTTAAAATGCAAATATTGCAAGAAAAATCCTTCTGGCATTTCCTATTTCATTACAAACTTAGTTTTCCATGATTTTTAGCAAATTTTGGGTTGAGCAAAATCTTTAATTAACTTAATTTGAACTGCAGCAAATTTCTCACCATGTCTAAAGCAGCAAATGTTGCAAAAAATACTTCTATCGTTTTTTATTTCATTACAATACTAATTTTTCACGAGTTTTTGCAAATTTCAAGTTCAGCAAAATCATTGATCAGTTTAAATTGAGCTGCAGCAGATTCCTCATCATGTTTAAAATGAAAATATTGCAAAAAAAATCCTTTTGGCATTTCCTATTTCATTACAAACCTAGTTTTCCATGATTTTTAGCAAATTTTGGGTTGAGCAAAATCTTTAATC